TATTATTTAATTATTTGACATTTTGTATTTACACATGCAGTATCTTTTTCGCCAAGACGTGGGTTGATGTAGGTTGACCTTTTGACGTCATTTTTACTTAATTAATATTCAAAAGCGGCCCACGAAAGCGCATGTGCAAATTTATGCCAAAACACGATCTTATGAAGCACTATGAAAAATAGAAGGCGACTATGAACAGAATTTGATATAGTATCGACTTTTGTTCTTCTATGAAAATTAACACTCATTATTTTGAAGAAATACAGCGTTTCCAATGGATGACAAATAAAGTTGGACACTAAGCTTAATTAAGTGTACCTGCCTTTTTAGAACCGAACATGATAATGACCTAAGGTAGCAAAATTAATCAAATTGTTAATATTCCGCTGGTGTCCCAGAAAAGAAATATTTAAGGCCCAATGGGCCCAAGAGATTCCTTATTCTAATTTCTCAATGGATGTTCTGTTACAGTTTCCAATAGTAATATTTTAAGTGAACGCACTGTAAGATTAACTTAAAGTAATTGTGTGGTGTAACTGGTGTAACAAAAACAAACGACATATTACTGTAGACAATATTTCAGGCTTTGAAAAATAATAATTATTGCTGTCAGGAAAAATACAAACAATTTACATTCATGCATAAAATATGTGCACGCAGGTATAGACGAAAGAAAAAACATGCATTAACAAATAGATTCTAGTGACCTAGTGCCTTCTTGCACGGTTTTTATGCATGACGCATGACGCAATGTATAAACAATTTTATGCAATGACGACCTCCGTATAATCCGAGCACGATAAACTGACGTTTCTTCATATTTATTTATAGTACGGAACAGTCCACGTTAAGACCATATAGGTAAATTTATTGTTGCTCATCCTATTGATTGAGCATTTGACTAATAATTGTAAAAGTATGTAACAAATGTCGCAATAGCTCAATCGGTAGAGCGCTAAGTTCAGAAGGAACCTACTGAATGGCAGAAGGGTAAGTTAAAAACAAAAATGTTCGTGTTTTTTTTTCAATTTTCTCCTTTAAGTACAAAACTACATAATGCGTTGTTATTTTGATTGATTGATTTATTTATGTACGTTTTTAATCGAAGTATCTTCATCTCATTTATTCCACTTTCTTGCATATCAGACTGGCGTTTCCGTTATTTTTACTCATGCCGGAAATTTCATCTGGTGTGGGGTGCCAGATGAGTCGCGTGCTGTACAATGGCACGCTTTGGATGACGTATTTGCCGTTATGAATGAGGTTGTAATTCCACACGCTGTTGTGAGAGTTACGAGTGTTATGACATAATTTTCAATGGATTTTTTTATAGTTAAGAGTTTAAAAAGTAATAGAATATGCAAGAAAGATATCTCATATATATGTTTGCGGTCCGGATCAGAATATCCGTCCCTCGTATTTCTTTTATATATTTTTTTAATTTTTTTTATTTTAAATGTATGAATATTTTAACAAATTTTAAGAGAGACAAAAATACAGTATCTTTAAGTTCATATGCGTAATCAAATTTTATTAAGTTAGCAATTAAAAAAGTACTAGTAATTAAGAAAAAAAGAGAATTAAAACTTTAATAAAAATGATACGGTTTCCATCAGGTTTCGAACCCACTAGCTGAATTTACTTTGATATTAATAAGCGGTCTTACTAACTGTGCTATAGAGTCAAACGAATGATATATCTCATAAAATATAATTTGTATAACTTTTAACGAGTTATTTGATTAATCACTTGCAGTTTACCTATGTTTACCTGTGTTAATCTTTTAATGTTTTTAGAACTGACGAAAGTTCTGACTATAGTCTATTTTCAAAACATAACTGTCAAAAGACATTGCAAAATCAAGTGCAAAGCATGGCAGAATCTGTGCTTTCTTTATATGAAATACAGATAACCAACGCGGATTACCGATTTTGACGTATAATTTTATGTATATGATATCGACCGAGTACGAGGTCTTTCTGTTTAGGAAAGACCTGGTCACGAATTTCATGTGACACCGAGAGCGCGTAGCGCTCGAGGTGTTTCATGAAATTCGTGACCAGGTCTTTCCTAAACAGAAAGTTCGATGTACGAGGCCGATATCCAACTTACACACCGTCAAACTATTGCCTTGAGCAATGGCTGATCCGAAACATTTGATGTAATGCACTAAGATTATTTTTTAACGCAGCGTATAAACAGGTAGGCTTTTTTATTTTATTAATTTATGGATACTATTTTGTGTGTACAAAGTTGCCCGTTAGTTTTTGTTTATTTTTAACACAATGGAATTTCGACAAAAGGCGATGATTTTTTGTAACAAACAATTCAACAATTAAATATTTTAACATTTTCAAAAAAATGGGAGAGGGGGAGCAGCAAATGTCAGCCCCTTACAAAGATATAAGGGGGTATATGTCCCCCACTGCAAAAAGGTGGCAAACTTCCGAGAAGCAACTGTCTGGGGGGCAAATATCCGGATACCCAGCAGACCACGAAAGACTTACAAATGTACATTGAATATTGTTGGCAAGTGTAAGATACATGATCCGAAATAGTATTTTATATAGCAGATATTATAAAGTGTTCTAGAATAAAATATGATCGCTCATCATATAAAATGTTATGCTAATTCACTTATAACTTTATTAACATTTCTTTTTTTAAGGATTTTTAAAAAAATAATATCCGAATAATACATTTCTATCTTTTCTATCTATATCTGAAATACTAATGGGAGATGTGCCCTTTGTAGACCGATCCACTTTAAGTACTTTTATATGCATGTCACTATAAGCAAGATTTAAATTATATCTTTAACGTTGTTGTGTAGCATTCTTTGAATCTAAGCTCTAGATTCGAAGGTTTTCAGGGGAAACCAGTTTTGATTTTTCACCGGTTGAATAGTAAGACAGGATAAAGCACTCAACGAGAGAGGGGGAGATTAACGGGGATTTAACAATCCGATTGATCGCGCGGGTGGGAATGTTACCAGGGACTTGACTCTTAACTGTGGGTATCTGCAGTTTCCTAGGAATGCACGTTATTTCAATCACAAATGCATTTGAAACGGACATATATTCGTTATATTTTACGATATGACTGTTTGGTACAATTTGTATATACTATGAATTTTCTAGAGCGTTTAAGATGTTATGGATTAGGTGATTTAAAATCGTAATAAGTATGCTGTGACAACTGTTATAGTTTCATAGAAATGAACTTTAAGCGTCCATATTTGTTATATTCTAAACAAGAACCGCTTAGATTACTATTACTTTGGGAAAAAAGACGCGATTTAATAAATGTTAAATGTGTCCTAACTTTTGAAATGCTATCCATTTATTTTATTCTAAGATTTAATATAGGAATGTTGGAATAATTGCTAAGTGCATTCAATTAACATTATCTTGTGTAAAAAAATGTATCCAGATTTTGTAAGACAGGAATATTAAGAAAATCATATACATTTTTTTTTTCATTTTCAATTTTTGATGTTTTCATGTTTTCCTTTTCTGCGCATAGGCAGGTCTATTTTTTCACGTGTTTTTCATGACTGGGTCTGTCTGACTAGAACAGACCTCAACACGTGCAAAAGATAGACCTCATAACGGACTTTCTTTTGTTTAAACAGGTTTATTCGAAAAATATAGACCTGTCACAAACAATAGAGGAGGTGTGTAAGCAAGAATAATGCTAATTGACGCACTCGGAGTTATTTAACCCCTTGCACTTCGGGATCGGGCTTTATATCCTCGTGCATCTGCAGATATTAATGCGTGAAGGAATGTTGCAGTAACTTTATATTCTGCGCATTCATCAACTTTAGGAAGATATTTGAGTCAGACAAAATATATCAATTCTTTGACATGGGCGTCCGTGGCCGAGTGGTTAAGGTATCTGACTATAAACACCGTGCCCCTCACCGCTGTGGGTAAGAATCCGACAGGAACTTTGGATTCTTTCATGTGTTGAAGATATCCCGCTAGCTTTAGGAACGGTGGTGTTACTCAGATACACGTTTGTGCCTGAACGGCGTCTGAGGTCTTACTATATATAAGTACGTGATGTCATCTATGAGACAACTCAATCTGTAGGTGAAGGTTTTTATGGTTTGTCTGATATTGACAATGTGTTTTCATGTTTACCCACCTAGACATGGTTAGAATTCACGCAAAAATCTGTTGTGATAACTTAAAAATGAAAAAAATAACAAATTGTATTATGAACATTTTAAAAATGTTAACAACTTTATTTTGATGACATATAATTTAAAATGTACACATAAAACAGCCCCAGTGACATGAATATTGACATATGATTTGGTATTTTATCACTCATAAAATCGTTTTGTAATCACTCAAATATGTATACTCTTAATATTTTAATAGTGGGGAATATTCTTGAAAAACACTCTAAAAATGTTAAACGTGGGGTGTATTCTTGTTGAATACTCTGAATATTTTAAAAGAGGGGTATATTCTTGTTAAATACTCTAAATATTTTAAAAGTGGAGTATATTCTTGTTGAATACTCTGAATTTTTTAATAGTGGGGAATATTCTTGTTGAATACTCTAAATATTTTAAAAGTGGGGAATATTCTAGTTGAATACTCTGAATATTTTAATAGTGGGGAATATTCTTATTAAAAACTCAAAATATTTTAATAGTGGTGCATATTTTGTTGAATAATGGCTATGCTTAATAGTGATATTTAATATTTATACTAGTTAAGGTATAAGAAACATAATAAATAACAATGTTTTAAAAGTCATCTAAAACTTGACATTGTCAAACTTGATCATATTCTTGACACAAATACGTTTACTATCTTGTTTGAAAATTCTTGACAATTTATATTAATTTTTTATCAGTTATATCATCAATATTTGCATCAATAATATGTTTTCATGAGTTTAAAATGAGTTTAGCAGATTTTATCTTCATTTAATTTTAGAACCGTAGTTTAAATAAGAACAAACAGAAGCAACGAAAAGCATATCTGAAACAAATGAGGTTTATTGAAACATATATCAGTCAGATTTGATAAAACATAAAGACCAGTCATACTATCCAACTATAATTAGCGCATCGTCATATCTTCCTAGATACAATTCTGAACATTTTTTGCCAAAAAACGGAGGTTTACAATCTCGATATGAAAATATATACAATTAAAGTTTAAAACTGGAAACCAATATCTTACAAGACAAAAAAAGAATAACAAAGTTGACAAAAATGAAAAAAAGGCCTCTATTGAACACATGCCCGGTATAACCTTATATTAGTATCATCGCTGGAAATGACTACTCTTCAGAAATAGGCATCTTATACCTTCGGTCTCTTAAAAATTGTTATAAAAATGCTATATACTTGTATTTTATGCATTGATATATACCGATGAGTCTGGAATAAATAAATTGATATAAATATACAATATAATTCAAAGCAGAATTAAATGTCCCTGGTTCCTTTCTGTAAGCTTTAGCAATGCATTTACACGGTGATGTGATATCGCGGTGATTTCATATGTGAATAATATTTGACACATATACCAATATAAACCTAAAGATGCTTATATCCGTGTCATTTTAATAAAAATCATTCTTAAAAAGCACGCATATGCATAATTTATTACATCTGCATAACTCAACGGGCTTCGGCTTTAAATGCATCTTCATGCCTCTGCAGACATTTATGTATGACAAAAAATGCATAAACCCTCTGTTAATTTAGCTTTGCATATTAAATATATGTTTTCTTTTTAAAATAAACAACAATATTTTGTTTAGTCGCCGGGTAAACGATGCTAATCTTTGAGGGATAATTCCGGTCTTTATTTCATAAATAAACAAAAAGCTCTATAGCCAGATTAATTAAATTTAATTAAAAAAATGAGATGTAAGAGGGGATCAGATCTTTTAGAGCCTGTCTGAGCATTACAGATATATAGTGTCTGAGAAAAAAAGCGGGCAACTTATTAACAAAAATTCAGTAATCGTTCAATGATTAATGAAAAAAAAATGAAAGAAAAATTGAGAAAAAAAATCCTTTAAATGAATAGTGGAATAGTGATCGATGGTCCCATAATAGTTTCTCTTAATCTATACAACTTCTTATATGATGATATTAAAAAGTCTTGAATGTTTACAGAATAAAATATAACAGAACAGCTATTACAGCGACGATCAACATATAAATTGCCCCTGAACTTTTGCGTTCAGTTTTAGCACAAGGTCTTGTCTGAAGTGGTTTGTATACACGCTCCCATTGTGTCATGATGGCATTCCGTGCACCTTTCCAAGGCCCCGGTCCCATTAATCGATATTGACAAGGGGTGCAAGGTCCAAAGAAAATTTCCATCGCAAGTTTTGGATCAGTTAAAACAAGTTTTCCTGGGAATTAAATACAAAAAAATTTAAACAAGCAAAATTAGTTAAGTAAACATGTATAATAATAAAAATTGATATGCGTTAAACAAGCATTGTTGTTTGTAAAATCGTCAGCTATAAGCTAGAGTATTATAATAAACAATCATCGCATGTAAAGCTTTCATGGCATGGATAATAAATTTGATTTTTTTTTATAGTAAACACGTGTTTGCGCTATATCGATTACTTGATTATATCATAACTCTCAACAAAATGACATGATGTCAAAACAAATTTAAAATGGATTTTGATTTATTATACATGATTTACATAAGAACAGTATTTTAGTAGTTTTCAGTTGTTTGCCGCATAACGACATGCGGTTTCATTCATTGAGTCTTTAAATAACGTAGCATTGTTTATGTTAAAATAATTCTGTAAAATTGCGCAAAGTTTGTTACATTTTAGCATGTGCAATGTTTTGATGTTCTTCTCGAAACGATGCACATTTTTCTAAATTCAAAGTATATTTCTGACGATATTGCTACGTACTTAGGATAGATTCTTTTCAACTACATTAAAATACCGGTATAGCCGGATACTGTAAAGATTATATTTTATAATTTTACTGTGGAATTATCAAAATATATTATTTCACTGTCAGACTGTCTACTGAACGCATGTATTAAAACACTTAAATCAGTCATCTATCCTGCCAGAAATTCCCAAGTAATTAAAAAAAACATGCAAATCTAATGAGTACAGGAAAGTCAAAAGGTAAATCTGAGCCAGAAAAAAGTATAAGGTTTGCAGTTATTGGCTGCAGATGGTTGCTGAGAAATAGCCACACATGGGAGGAACGCCAAACAATTCAGAAATACTTCGATTAGTTCAGGGCGCATGATAAAGCTTTATCTTGTTTTCGCACGCTTTAAAATATTCCACGAAATTCAAAGAGAAGAAAGCGTATATTAATTCATAACATGATTGCATTTGAGAGCAAGATACTGTAAAATTAATAAATGAGAAGGACGACATGATCTTTGACAGCCTAGAGTTCGGGTGCAAGTCCGGCAAAACCCCTTTAATGTTTTGTTAGTTTGTTCATTTTTTCTGGGTTTTTATGCCGAGACCAGAAAAGGGACGAGTGTTATAATTTTGGGACACATTATCATTTTAAATATGTGTGAGACCGAAACGTATGCATGGAGGACAAGACCACACTGTTACACAAAACGACATTCAAATCGTTAATGATGATAAAAAAAACGAATTTAATTCACAGGTTGAAGAAGTTTCATTCTTCTGATATTACTATATTTAGGTCAATTGCCCAGTAAATTTCATCTGAAAACTGTATGACAAGCAAGTATAATATAATTAGCTGAATATGCACATTTGCAGTTTAAAATGCCTTTTCTACACTCAGCTGTTATCGTACACTTGTGGCAAATTGCCAGTGATAAAGAAGGTGTTTTTTTTTATTTTTGACATGCAGCCAGACATGCACGCATGGTAAATGCATGTGTAGTTAACAGTAATTTCAAAATTCTGCTAAGTTTTCAGACATCAAATAACCTTGAGCTTATCAACTTAACAATTTTTGCTGTTAAGTAGACTAGGGAATTTCACAACCAGACTGTATTTACTGCATATAATGACTCATTTATAGGCATTTGCTTGTTTTCAAGGACATGTTTTTTGCATGTGATGAACAGGCAATGCATGAACTATGTCTATCGACATGATACACTCGAAACAATTTTAAAAATAACGAGTACTTAATAATACTATTCAAAGGAAAATTACCAAATGCGTAATATGAAATACGTAGCTACCAAATTATCGGACGCACAATGATTTGGCGTGCCAGTGGCCCCTTAAATTGACAGGACAGACGAATCATCTTATCTGGCTACATTTTACCCATTTGGACGATATCCTTACATTATTTTTATATGGGACTTTGTAATTCAGAAGACATTTATTTAAGAATAAAATGACGATTAGATCGGTGTCATTTCAATAGTTGATACATTTTTAGTATACGGACGGACCAATTTTGAGCACGGTGAAAACTTTTCAAATGTACTTTTAAGGTTAGAGAAAAAGTTACGATATTTAATCTAGACAAATATATCATAGTTGGAGACGAGGTGACATTCTTTATTCATTACTGAATAAAACCTTGCCACGACAGAGTTCCAGCAATTATAGACATGCAACCTCACTAAAACAGAGTTGATTAGATTTGTTTTTAGGCGGAATAACATATCTAATAAAATATAGTGCTTAACTATCCTTAATATCATGCCCCCGAGCAGAATTAACAATTAACATGTGAAATCGTAAAACTCTGAATTGAGGAACACCCTAGGATGTGTTCATTTTGGCGGTTATCAAGGTAGGTCAGAGGTTATGAAGCCTACATACATGTACATGTATAACAAATAAGCTGCAAAAGACAAATTACAAAAACAAGCAGGCGACATTTACTTAGGGTGATTATACTGTATTTAAGAACAAAATACTGGAACCAGTCAAATCGAAACTAACACAAAGTACCACAAACACAACATTATAATTTAAGGACAGGAAATAAAACATCTCTGACATTATAAAATGTACAGTGCCACTTTTTATGGCCCCAACACGGCACGAACAACGCTGATATGGGAATTTGGTTAGACACATATTTTTGGATCCTACTAAAAACCGATTGTTCTATTATTAAGAGACCCTTGTACAATACACCTGACAAAAATATTCAAACGGCCGAAACATTGTCACGACATTTTTCAGCGACACATTCCCAGATTTGACTGAAGGTGCTTATTAACATTAAATTGTTATAGTTTGCCTATTAGAATGAAAAAGAGACTATTCAGTCACTTAATCATACGGACTAAGTGACAGATGATCTGGCAGTTTAAACTTTGCAGTTTGCAATGCCGTTTGGCCTGACAATGTTTCTGTTGAAGTTGAAGTCCAGTGCCAGCATTAAAGATATAATTATAATTAAGGTAATTGTATTTTCATGTGTCAGTTAAAAAGAGGTACAATAGGCAATTATGTCCATGCTTTAACATGAGATATGAAATGATCAACACAGAACGGTGACATCCCCAAACAAAACTATTAGCGAAGCTATGTCCATGCTTTAACATGATATATCAAATGATCAACACGGAACGGTGACATCCCCAAACAAAACTATTAGCGAAGCTTTAAAGCTCAAATTCAAAAGTACAGAAAGAGCATTACAGCAGAGAAAAACCTGGGAAACCGACTATATGATAAGGAATTTAGGAACTATACAAAAAGCAGATATAAGTATATTTTCATTAATTCTTAAAAAAAACACCAATTTTAATATTTATCACGGGTTTGATATTTTTGTCTGTAAGACTAATACATTACATTTACCTATCTTAGGCTTACAGCCAACCATTTCAGCAAGTTCATCCATGTAAGGAACGTAGTCCACTTGTATTGTGTGTCTCAAAGACTGTTTGTATCTCATACTCATGGCAGCGTGCTTGCTTTTAATGTCTTTCCACATCTTGCTACTTTCTGGCAACGTCTTTAATCCCTGGAAATATTTTCTATGTGAAATATTTTTTAAAGTACACGATTAAAATTTTGTTAGTAAACGTATGATAAAACACAATATAGAGACACATTTTTAACTCCCTTTTCTGTATGTTAAATAAATCATGTCCTGCTTTTTCAAACAAAACAAAACGGTTCTTGCACAATCTTAAAGCTGCAGGCATCCTGATGACTAAAGAATGGTTCAAGAAAATCAAACTTGAGAAAGATGAACTAAGATTTTAAGAAAAGTAAACGATTCAAGATTCAAGTACTAATTTCCATGCTTTGTGTGAAGACTGAATAATTTTGCAGTATATATCACCATATCACCATATATCAACAGTGTAACTAATGCAGAAAGGGCTAATTTAAAGTGCCGTTTGCAATGTGTAAATTGCTTTCTTACTTCATATCACAATATGTTACTTTTAAATACTGTTTTCAAAGTGTTCATGCATAAATCAGCATTAATATTAAGGCATTCTGCTTTAAAGTGAAATATTTTAATAAATCAATTCAAGTTTTCAAAATATTGTTTTGAAACAAAATATCTAAAATCCACAACTTATTTCTATAATTACATGTACTTCAAAAATAGTTTATGATATTGCTAATAACATGTTGCTAACAGGTTTGTTTGTGGCATTTTACGAAACAATTTAATGCTCAAAATTTTTTTCTAGCAAATCGGTCGAGATCTATCAGAATGCCAAAATTTACCTTAAACACCCTTGTAGCAAGGCGACATTGCATTTCGCTCAGGGGCATAATTGCACCGAGCGGCTGGAAACAACCGATAATTGCCATCGTATGTTTTTGCAAGTCGGGTGGAAACATGTACTTGTATAGATCGACTTTGTTGGCTTTCACCTCTATCACACTTTTATCAATGAATGGAAATCCAAAACTGTAGCCCGTTGCTAGAATTACAGCATCCAAATTATCAATCGTTGTGCCGTCCTCAAAGATCGCCCCTGTTTCTGTGAACTCTGCAACATTGGCTTTTACAATAACACCTCCAGAAATGATTCTATTTGGTAATTCATCATTCAAGGTTGGGTGTGCAGAGAACAGATGATGTTTGGGTTTAAGGCAATATTTTTCATGATCGATTTTCTTGTCAAGTTTCTTTTCTGTGCGCGATGTAATCATATTTGGAAAAGTCGTCAAAAGCTTTGTGTTAAAGCGAGTTGATTGTACCATATCCCAAGGAAGCCCTTTCTCAGCTACACGATTGAGAATCCAAGAACCTGACCTTGTACTTAAATAAACCTGAAATAGGAATTATGAAATCTATTTTTATTGTATTTCATTGTGTGTGTGTGTGTGCGTGCGTGCGTGTGCGTGCGTGTGTGTGCGTGCGTGCGTGTGTATGTGCGTGTGTGTTTATTAGAGTATTTACACTGTGTATATTCAGTAACGCAGGATTGTGAAAATAACGCTAGAATCATGCAAAAGTAAGTCCGAATCATTGCAAGCGATGACCGAAACAACTAAGGTGACCTTGGTGTATCGTCGGAATAAGTGATAACTGTAACTCATTTAAATCTTTATTGTTTAGATATGCGTCATATCATATACATTTACGAAGCTTCTCGGGTCCTGAAATAGTAAAATGAATCTATAATCATTCAGGTACTATTTCATTTAGGTCCTTCTTATGAGGTAACTAGCGTTGCTCCTATACATCGTTCACGAAACCGGCGTTACCTCGTAATAGACTCGGTCACATTTTATCTGCTAATTTCAGTTCAATATGACAAAATTTTTATGGCAGATGTCAATGGTATACGTCTTTACCGAATATCAAAAATAGATAATATATGTGTTATGGTATAAAAACAAGACATAAACTCGCTTCCAATAGGCTAGCCAGGTCGTCATTCTCACTAATGATCTTGAAAAACAATACCCACATTGAAATGTTTTAAACAATTTATGTCCCAGTAACCGTACAAGCTACTCCATTTCTTTCAGTTTGATTTATCATAAAATGTATTGGTTCATTTACTTACCGTGGTGTTCCTTTTGGTCATAGAATAAAACAATTATTCGTTACTTTGGTACACTTCCTGCGTTATTTTCTTATTCCTTAGTTACACAATATGCACAATAAAGTACACAGGGTTCGTAGATGTTGATACGCCTGGATAGCTCTATTTAATACCTTTCAACAGTATTAACACGAGCCTTCAGCTCAACATAATTTAAAAGAAATTGCAATTTAATCAGTCGTTCACCAGTTTTAGAAAAGCGCTTAGAATACTGAGGAAACAAGTGCTCATATAAAAGTTCGCACAAAACTCATCTGGTAAAGCAGATATTTTTTCTGAATATCGGAAAGATTATGGATCTGATAAAGTATCTTATGAGCCACCTTAGGTGGAGAAAGAAATTTCCGGCGGGCACTGAGACCTTTAAGGGATCAGCAAAATCTGGCGGACCTATGTCTCAGAAATCAGAGAAATAGCTGTAAATGATGGCAGATACATAATTTGTGATCTTTCCAAAATACATCACTCACTTGATTACTTATACCAGTTTCAAATGCAAAGAAGAAACCCATCAGAAAGATTAAGATTTATGGCAAACCTGTGACGTTATTCGGCTTAGTTCTGTTGCAACGTCGCCGCCAGAATTTCCAATACCAATAATCAGAACGTTTTTGTCTTCGTAACCATGATAATCTTTATAGTCATGCGTATGCTTGACATTGCCCTTGAACTTGTTTAGTCCCGGAAAATTTGGTAGATTCTTTTCTGCATGATGTCCAGTACAGATTAGAACAGCGTCGAATACACGGGTCTCCTCTTTATCAGATGTGTTTATGGCGATTTCCCATTGCCCATCGCTGTTGAAAGTTTTAGTTGGTTTTACAGACAGCACCTGCAATTATTTGATTAAATGACAAAATCGAAACGATAAGTACGCCAATTGAATAGAGCTGAAGATAATTTATTTGGCTAGTCCGTGCTTTTTATATTGATCATTTACATTATTCTTAAACGAGTTAAAGTCAAAATGTGGACTATTTTTATTTCAATGAAACCTAAAAGAACAAGATGTAGAGAGATTGAAAATAAAAAGTCAATTCGAAAATGATATAGTAAAAATGTGGTGTAAAATAAACTTTACAGACATAACGGGAAGTATTTAAAAGCATAAAATTTGGAACAAAACATAAACATGAAATTAAACATAATGAGGGTAAACTACTATGGAACATATCTTGGACAACCAAACATATTTGTATATTCCAGATATATACAACACGAATGAAAATAAATTAAAACATTCGAACAAATACAGAATCAGTTTAATGCAAATAGAAATGAATACTTGTACTATTGTAAAATTATTGCATCAATCCTTAAAAGACTTGTCGCAGCAACTTTGGAAAACGACACTAAATATATATTTACTAGGGTTTGTAACACAAACTTTAAAAACGTAAATAGACAGGTTTGATTTTGGGAAAATGTTCATCCTAACGACATTTTTTAGTACTTACCTATTTCGAATACGCTGAATTCATTTTTTTTGCTTTACCACGGTTTTATTTTTAGTCCTTGATCTTTTAAAAATCAGTTCAAGACCGCCATTGTTTTTAATTTTTTTATTTTTACTTTAATGCTCCTATAGGCAAAATAAAACACATCTTTTTGAAATTTAATTGAAAGTTTTGCTTATTTTAGTCGGCTGAAGTGTGAACGAGAAGAATAAATGAGGGAAAAAAAGATAAATGTAATGCGGCAGCCATCTTGGATTTAAAAATGGCTGACAATTTCCTTTGTTTCTAAGTACTGTTTAAAGATCCTGTATGTTTTGTGATTGATATTGTTACTGTGTGTATACCACACTTGCAAAAAAATATATATGTATATAATTATGCAAATTAAACAATTTTCAAACGTCGAAGAATATGTAAAATGTGTACTGCAAATATTTCTGCACATTATATTTAATCAATAAATTATATGCATTCATTTCTTATTGGAAAATTTGACTTGCATAATGATTGCATATAATGTGCACAAATATTGCAGTACATATTTTACATATAATTCGATGTTTGGAAATTGTTTTATAAACATAATAATATACATATATAAAAGTTCACTTAAGTGTGGTAACAACCCGCAAAGCTCAATCGGTTAGAGCGCGATACTTGTAATCTTGACATTGTGTGTTCGATTCACGGGCTGGTCAACTAAAATTAATAATCAGTCTTTCGGATGAGACTTTAAATCGAGGTCCCGTATATGAGTGCTTTAACACTTGGCACATTAAAGAACGGAGAAGCTTCTGGAACCTGGGCATCTTTCTTTAAGATGACTAATACTCTTCTGGAGGACTCGCCCATATTGGCAACCGGTGGCGAGTAAAAAAAAATACTCAAATACACATAAATCGTAACAACCTCAATTACAACATTCAGGATCTTTAAAAGCACTTCACTTATATTTGTTCAGAAAAGGGTATCCATCTTGAAATTAAAGATGGCCACAATTGTAGTCAATAAGTAAATCATGTCAATCATTCATAGAAGACTCTTTTATTGCGTGTGGTTTAACGGAAATAAATTTCGCTAAGAACCAGAAATAAGAAATTATGAAGTAATTAGTAAAGCTCAATGGCGGCCATTTTTATTTGACCATTAGAAGGGCAAGGACTTCGAGTACAGCCGTGGTAAAGCAAACAATAGATTCAGCGTACCTGAATTATGTAAAAAGAGTTGACCACCTGCTTGTACTAAAAATGCTGTTAGACTCTTAACGGAGGGTCTTTTCTGAAAATCAAACCCATCTAATTCAAAACAGCCTGAAAGCCTTACCGTTATATCATATGATTATTTAACATGTGTAAGGAGCGGGGTAATACTGTTTAAATTATACATCTACGTGAGTACAACATATCTTATATAGGACTATCAATTAATATATCATTGTAATCAGACATTTACAAAGCTTAATAATAATAAAAATAATAATAATAATAATAATAAATTGATATCTCCATGCGCATGTACAACCGGAACGCGAAAATGCGAAAATGTAACAATGCGAAAATGTAACAATGCGAAAATGTAACAATGAAAATGCTAAAATGCGAAAATGTTACAATGCGAAAAAGCGAAAATGCAACAATGCGAAAATGTAACTATGCGAAAATGCGAAGTTATACTTTGTCGTCTCTTTGTGTTTTCGCATTTTTGTATCTTGAACGCGAAAAAGCGAAAATACGACAGATGGAATGCGAATATTCGACATATTTTATGTGTCGTATTTTCGCCCTCCTTCTGTCGTATTTTCGCTTTGTTGTCTCGAAAATGCGAAAAAGCGAAAACATGAAGAGACGACAAAGTCCAAATTTGTCGTCCCTTCGTGTTTTCGAATTTTCGCATTTTCGAGACAACAAAGCGAAAATACGACATGGCGTACATCAGCCACCATACTTTTAGTTCAATATATTATGGTATTTAAAAAAGTAACAAATAACTGCATCCATGCATTAATTATGAATACATGTAAAACGTTTGGCGAAGATCTTGTTACATTTTTCGTTGACTTCACGGAAGATGTTTCTGACAAAATATCATTTTAGTTTACAAATTCAAAGATTGCTAAAATTGAAGTAGCGGAACATATAAACAGTAAAATTATATCAATAACACAGTAAGATTTACAAATGTTTTAGGGTTTAATGTGCGAAATCACTTATATATGATGCATTTGTGCATAATTTGTTAAAATTGAATGAGAAATTGTCCTTGCGTAACTTTGTAGTATGATATATGATTATATATATATTTGTACATTAGATATGTTTCGTGATAAAACGCAATATTATTCACTTCAAAATAAGTTTCGCATACACCAGACGGTGAGACCTCGGTTTTAAATTAAAACTGAGATCAGGTATGATGTTATTGAAGCAGATGTATCTAAATATTTAATCTTAATTCATTGAGCTTTCATAGAAATATTTAGGCAGGATAATTTCACATAAAATATTCATTGCATATTCTCTCATTTTATTTGCAATTTCTTTTTTTCTACTGCAGCATTTTATTGACACTATGTTATAAAGGAACAAAAAATGTCATATCACACCTTATAATGTAGTATGTGATTATGAATAGACATAATTGTAATTAAGGAAGGAATAGAGTATTTGTTTAAACTTTTTCCTTGTTTAATGCATTGTGGTATAGCCAGGCTTCATAACCTCTGATCCCCATTTAAAATCAATCAAAACGAGCCTGCAACATTTTCAATTTTGTCGTTTTGTACGTTCTTTAGAGATTCTTTATTTCTCTCTATTTTAACTTTCGTCAGAGATGTAGATAACATCTAGATAATATCTATGTCTCTGCTTTTGTACCTGCTATATAACTTATTATCTTCATATATACAATGTTACTGTTTTTTTTTTGTAAAATGGACTTACTGACTCCATCTGTCAATATGTCAGGATAGTTGGTAACTTTGATATACCGACTTAATAGCTTTGAATTGACAAATAATCAAAATAATTTCAATATTAATACTGCTGCACCATTGTCTTATACAAATAGCTTGTCTAAGGAAAATGGCGGATTTTGCAGACATCTTAGCGTGAAACTGATAACGATCGCCGACTGGCTTATCTGTAAGACCTGGCAGGCGGCGTAATGTCGATAAGGGTACAACCACTCTTTTGAAATCATGAATTCTTGCCAATTATTAATATGTATATTTAGTTTTGCTATATGTATATGCAACAGAGATTTGTAAGGTCATGCATTATGGGATGGTTCCCCGACCCATACTGATCATTTGGACAAGGTGAAAGAATTGGTTCACCCTTATTGTTGGAGCCCGAATAACACATTATTCTTATCATTAAACTACATGCTGTATAGTTTGTCATAGTAAGCAGTTAATGGAAATTTCCAGTACCGTCCATGAACAGGCTCAATCAAACCGAGCCTGCAACATTTACAATTTTGCCGTATTTGGGCTTCTTTATGGATTTTGTTTTTCTCGATTAGTGCAAGTGCAATTGAATCAATTAGTCGAATGATTAAGTAAAAGTATACATGTATTTAATAATTGTCTCTCGTGGTTAACGTGATTTATAATGTTTACCTCTGTATTGAAGTTTATGTACTTTCTCAGTCCGAACTTGTCCGCGTACATATGGAAATATCTATCGACTTGCTGATTATGCATGTAGATCGGAAAATCTGCAGGGATAGGAAAATCACTGTAACACATCATCTCCTTTGATGTATTAATCACTGTAGATTTCATCACACATGCCTGACCTTCCTCCACATCTTCTGTGTAATGCCATAATCCACTTATATAATTACCCCTCTCAAAACATACAGGTTCAAGTCCCTCGTCAAGACAGCATTTGATAGCTGTTAACCCACAACAACCTGCTCCAATCACTGCTACACTTTTCATTATTTACTAGTCTTATATTTCTAAATGATATGCCCATAAGACGATAATAATAAACAATCCCTCCGGCACACAATGTAGTCAAGTTATGTCGATTGATATGGCGGTAATAAACACTGATAACGTTATTTAATCTCTGTCCTTCTCTGCCTTGAACTATTTCATCAATGGGAACGTGTATAGAATTTAGCATAGATGAAGGATTATTTTTGGGGAAGACAGGTAGTTGTTTTTTATTTCGGTCCATACTACAAGAACTTAACTTTCTTAAAGACCTATAAGCGTTAGTCCTTACGTTAAAAAAGTTAAATGACCAGTTGAACCAATTTTCCTGTTCGGCAAACGCGTTTGAAAAAATAAACAATTTTTCAGTATAGATCGAGCGTGTTGACTTTCGAACAGGCTCAATCAAACCGAGCCTGCAACATTTTCAATTTTGTCGTGCTGAACTTTCTTTAGGATTTTATTTTTCTCTATTTTTTTGATCCGATTTTGTTACAGTTTATACACATATATGGCTCCATTCCAATTTCAATCTGGGCAGAATACCATCGCCACCCTTTTATCATTGTTTGCATTTACTTGAATGTGGACAACAAATCGAAAGAGGGATCAGTACAAGACATTACAAGGCTTTATTTTGCTACAAAAAGACAACTGATTGGTGTAAGGTGTTCGGAGAAGACGGGCGTCAAACAGAATATTTTCTGGACAATAACTAACGTTCAGATTGGCTTATTTTAATCAAACTTTGTATGTAGCAAGTCTATGTATAATCCTCGCTCCGGATTGCTTTTGGGTATCCTATGGTTAATGTCATGGTTATTGATACTAACAATAAAAATACATGATCGATCAACATTCCTGTAAGGTTTTATGACTCTAGGTCAATTACTTTTTGAGCTACGTGCGACACAAAAAGAGAACGTTCAGTTTTAGCACAAGGTCTTGTCTGAGGTGGTTTGTATACACGCTCCCATTTAGCATGATGGCATTCCGTGCATCATTCCAATGCCCAGGTCCCATTAATCGATACTGACAAGGGGTGCAGGGTCCAAAGAAAACTTCCATCGCTAGTTTTGGATCAGTCAGAATACGATTTCCTGGGAATAAAAAAGGACATAAGCAAAAATAATTTATATATAAAAATTTAATAAATATTGATATCTGTTAAACTAGCATTGTTTTTTATTAAATTTAAGCTGTAGCTTTACAATACTAAATTTATTTTCAACATGAAATACACGGAAACCACCATCAATGGATTGGTAGTCATCTATCCTGCAAGAAGTGTTCGCGTAATTTAAGAAATGAAAATATACAAAGTAATGTGTACGGGAGCCACAACTTGGCTATCTCAAGGCCACGACTTAGTAACTCGTGTCCACGACATAGTATCTCGTGGGCACGAGATAAATAAATAACACACATGTCACCTTTGTGCCACCGTACATAATAGACCTAAGCTAAATCCTTTTTTATGCATCTATTCCCAAAGTAAAGAGGTTCGGATGCAAATCCTGCGAAACCCTTTTAATCTTTGCGTGTTTCTATTCGTTTTTCAAACGTTCATTTAATAACATATTCCTTTGTTTCATATCGTCGGGCGATCCACCCACAATATTTCCTAGAAAACTAACAAGTAGTCACAACTATCTTTGTTATGCAATTCAATCCAGACAAAAGTATCATAAGTATCAACGAGGTAACGTACTTTAGTCATATACTGAGCTGAGACGGAATGAAACACAGTTTCAACAATTTTAGCCATACAAATCTTTCCATTTTCATTATCAATACATATTTGGCAGATTATTGTTCTAAACTGTCAGAAACAGTTTATCCTATACGAAAACTGTCCGACAATATGATATGGAACATTGGAACATTAACGAAAAACAATATGTACTTTGTTATCAATTACTTTCAGTCAAGTTTTGACTAAGTAATTACTTAAAGGTTAATATTTATATAGTGTTTAATATTTTTGTCTGTTAGATTCATGTTTTACACTTACTGACGTTAGGCTTACAGCCAGCCATTTCAGCCAGTTCATCCATGTTAGGGATGTAATGCACTTGTATTGTGTGTCTAAAAGACTGTTTGTATCTCATACACATAGCCGCTTGCTTGCTTTTAATGTCTTCCCACATCTCGGTACTTTCTGGCAACGTCTTTAATCCCTGAAAATATCTACTATCTTATAAGATATCATATAAGACACATTATTAAAAACGTGTACTAAACATATGGTCAAACATAGTGATCTTTCAAATTGTAAAACTTTATTCCCTTCTTACTTCACTTTCAAACATAACGAAAGAGAACTTGAATATTCATAAAAGGAAGCATAATCATAAACTCAAATCCTCAATAAATGTTTGGAAATAAACTATTTAAATTTTTTAAATATACTTTTTTATAATTGCAAATAACTAACAGGTTTGTAATAGAAATACCGGTATGAGACTGAGATGAAATATCGAAGAAATCGGCCTAAATCTATAAAAAAATAAAAATAACAAAAAAAACAACAATTATTACCTTAAACACCCTTGTAGCAAGGCGACATTGCATTTCGCTCATTGGCATAATTGCACCAAGTGGCTGGAAGCAATCGATGATTGCCATCGTATGTTTTTGCAAGTCAGGTGGAAATATGTCCTTGAATAGATTGACTTTGTTGGATTTCACCTCTATCACACTTTTGTCAATGAATGGAAATCCAAAAATGTAACCTGTTGCTATAACTACAGCATCCAAATTATCAATTGTTGTGCCGTTTTCAAAGATCGCACCAGTTTCTGTGAACTCTGCAACATTAGCTTTTACAATTACACCTCCAGAAATGATTCTATTTGGCAACTCACCATTCAAGGTTGGGTTTGCAGAGAACAGACCATGTTTAGGTATCAGGTAATATTTTTTATGATCAAATTTATTGTTGAGTTTTTTTTTCTGCGAACGATATCTACATATTTGGAAAAGTCGTTAAAAGCTTTGTGTTCAAGCGAGTTGAAGGCATCATGTCACCAGAAAGTCCTTAATCATCTACACGATGGAAAATCCATGTACCTGATCTTGTACTAAGATAAACCTAAAATATGATTTAATAAAATCCATTATGAATGAGTTTTCTTTTATAGAACTATTATATTGTTTGTTTGTTTGCTTGTTTGATTGGGTGCCAGCTTTACTTGTGGAGAAAGACCTTGGGTGCCTCTCCGTGCATTATTTCAGGCACAAACGGGCACCTGAGTAGAACCACCGACGTTCCGTAAGCTAGCTGGATAGCTTCCTCACATGACAAAATCCAAAGTCAATGTCGGGATTCGAACCCACAGCGGTAAGGGGCAAACGGTTTGAAGTCAACGACCTTAACCACCCGGCCACGGGCGCCCCAATCTATTATATTGAACTACAGGTAAACAACAAGAGAAATCGCTAATGGATCTTTTTAAGTTTTAAGTTTTTAGTGTTTGGGTTTGAAAACATCCGTATGACTAAGAGTGGCCTGGTCATTATTTTAAGGGGCTCTTGAAATCTAATCTTTTCGAAATGTTTTATGATATTAAAAACTAAATAATGGATAGAAATACTCTCTTAAAACGGAAAAATATATTCATCAGTTTCACAGTCCGTAGGCATTGATACTGTACACACTTTTGGTGTCCCTGTTAGTAATATCTCGTTTATACAATTACACCCTTTACCATCTGTACATTACTCCCGGAACCTAAGACCAGTTTAAAATGCAATGCCGAAAATTAAGAAAAATAAAGATCAGAATTCATTTCAAACCTGTGACTATATTCGGCTTAGTTCTGTTGCAACGTCCCCGCCATAATTTCCAATACCAATAATCAGAGCGTTTTTGTCTTCGTAACCATGATAATCTTTGTAGTCGTGTGTATGAGTGACCTTGCCCTTGAACGTGTCTAGGCTCGGAAATTTGGAATGTTTTTTCAGCATGATGTTTAGTACAGATAAGGACAGCGTCGAACACACGGGTCTCCTCTTTATCAGATGTCATTATGGCGATTTCCCATTGCCCGTCACTGTTAAACGTTTTGGTTGGTTTCACAGACAGCACCTGGACATATTTGTTTGACTAAATGATAAAATTGAAACGATAACTATGCCGACTGAATAGAGCTATGGAAAGCCATGGCTGTCTTATATTGTTCTTTTTCAATTTATTTAACCATTTGGATAATAATAATTATATAAGTTCACTTCGACTATATATGAATTGAAAACACCTTCTTATTTAACCGAACTCCATTATATTAATCCACAGTTACCAAATATGAAAACATACCGTCAGTGTATGAAACCGAGGTAGCAATGTATAAGTTGATTTTCATTATGTATATTGACTATTAGAACAGTCTCTAGTTCCTTTCCCTTACACTTCGAAGAACTGCAATGTTTTAGCCCTTTTAGTGATTTAGCTTTTTCGGTGATTACACGGATGAATCGTCCGTTTAGTACATACCGATATCACGCCCGTTTAACTCACAACGAGTGAAAAATGTCCATCGGTTAAAATGTTGTGAGCAACTTCCGTTCCTCGTTGTGAGCACCCTTCTTTGACGTGTGACACGATAAACAAGGTGAGTTTTTCATAATTTTTTAAGATTACGGACATTTATGTAAAAATATCGAAATGCAGTTAGCTAGCGATGTGTTTTCCGAGTATGCACATGTAAAGATATTGCCTGTTGGTTGACAATTTGATGGAAATACCGTGCAACGCAGTCACTCGGGGTAGCTGGAAAACTGGAGACAACTTCTCTTTGGACCTAATTTAACATTGAAAACGTCGATTCTGGTGACGTTTTGTGCATTCTAACCTAAAACAGATGCCCACAAGTCTTCAGCGTAAATTATAATCTGAAAGCCTTCAAAGAAACGAAGATACACCCTTTTTTGCTTTAATCCTCGTTGTGAGCACCATAACCTCGTTGTGAGCAAGACAAGCGCAGTGATTGTCTGGTGTTAATATATAATTCAAATGGCAAGAATACAATTTTCAATCTAAAAAAGCAATCCAAACGTTTTTGTACTTAGTTTTTCTTTGCAATACTTCTTTTTCTTTTTTGAAAATTATTCTTCATATTCACAAGTCATCAGATTAACAGAAGAACTAATCAGTGGAGGCAAATCAGCTA